ACGGACCATAGCCATGAGAGTTCCCCCAGCAGCCATCAAATTTGGTGTCAATATAGGTGGTCGCCACGCCGATGGCGTCACCTACGCTATGTTCCTCTGAAGTACGAAGTTCGAGAACCTAGAAGAGGAACGCCAACTCAACTCTGGCACGGCTCTCATTGACTTTCGTGTCCATGCGGGAGAAAGAATCGACCAGTCGTTAGCGCGGTTCGAAATAGCCCGCTACGAAGCAGAAGCCGCCGGCTTCGACATCCCCAATTTCCGGATATTATCAGTAATATTACTCAGAGCTCTGGGAGTGGGGACGTCGCGGGCACAGCAGCTCCTGCAGCCTCTGAAGCACCATATGCCGAGGGACCAAGCACAATGTGATGCTCTCCTAGAACGTATGAGGTCACATGCTCACATAGCTGAGAGAGCCCTTGGCAACATCGGTGGCATTTTGAGTCGCGGTCACCGAACCGAGACCTTCCATGCAGAGGCCAATGCAGGGCAGCTTGCTAACAACTCCTGGAACGATGATATGCCGCCATCTGAGACCACTACATTGTTGGCCCAGAATGGCGGCACGGCCTCGGGGTCTCACGACCCCTGGACCAGATCCAGGGGACCACCCGGCGCGGTTCCCCCTGTACAAGCTATGGCCCTAATGGGCTCTGCGGGGCAACCCGCCGAGTCCGATCTCGACTCCAGTACCGACGCCGATGCGTCTTCAGAGGGTGAAACTACCACGCTGGGCTACTTTGATACGCCTACATACCTCACTGAAGAGCAGCAAGCTCAGTGGTTATTTTTGGGCGATCAAACACACGAGCGTCGTTGGCGGAGATTCATGAAGAAACCAGTCCGAAAGGTAAGACGTATGGCGCGGCGGACACTCGAAGGAAAAGGCGAGGGTCGAAGTAGAGGCAAAGGTAAGCGTCGGCGACTACACGGTAGAGGCATACTAGCATTCTTAGCATCTCTCACTAGGCCTCAGTATGAAGAAATGTTTTTAGGTGCTGGCAGGAACCGTGGGCATACGTGAGGTAAAGGTAAAGGGCGACGAGGGAATCCAAATGATGCCAACGGTAAAACTATGGAGTGCGACATGTGCCACAGTGCACAACATTTCCGACGCGAATGCCCCCCCAGGCGATGGGAGAGGCAGGGGTCCGTCAATGCATTTGGCTCAAATGGACACCGACATGCAGTGCGTCGACTGGGAGTCACTTTTGGCGGACCCTGCTGACGGCTCAGGCACAGTTATTCACTTCGTGGCTGCCAGGTATTTGCGCCAGCATGAACCTCGAGAATTGCGCCGACGAAGCTGTTCGAAGAGGTGTTTGTTCACCGGCCACGGCGACATCGATTTGGCAGAGTGGCTGGGTATACCCATCGCGGGGCAACCTGCCGATATTGAGTTCGTCGAAACTTGTCACATGCCCGTCGAAGGTGACTTCGGTATGCTGAAATGGCGGAAGAGGTTGATCCTACGGACGCCGCCCTTGGCGACGGTGAAGCAAGTGAGTCGGGCATCGCGGACGCTATGTGTGATGCTGATACCCCGATCGACCCCGAACACGTGGTCGCAGGAGACACGGGGCTCTCTTCCAGCAGGCGCGTTGCCTGCCGCGCCGAAGGTGCGGGCTGGGCCACTACTTACATAACCGAACGACGTAGCGCAGATATGTTTTTCCTTGGCGGAAGAGGAAATCAGCGCAAAGTTCCTACTAAGATCATGGCCATCAGGAGGCCAGGTGGCGAGGATTTGAATCCTGGCCGGGGCCCCATAAAACGTCGCCCCCAGTGCGCGCCCGGGGCGCTCGCGGCCACGGCAGAGGCAGCGCGCAAACCGAAGCCAGAAACGATCAAACATCCCTCGTCTTCTGATTCTGATTCTGGCTCAAGAAGCCCATCTTTTGGCCCTGATCATCCCAGGCTCAAGAAGAAGAAGCGCAAGAGCCCAGGCGATGATCCTAATCCTGGGGGCATCAAGAGATATGCGGGGCAATCGGCTGAGCAGCGCGCTGATCGACAACGATCTAGAGGTCCAGCAGTGCCGCTGCAGCGGCCAGATTCCAGGGCACCAGTAAGCCTACCCCAAAGGATCCTGTTCCACGCCGCGGCCCTTCATCTGGTCGGACACACAGGTCTGGATGGGCGCCTGCTTTGGAGGCAGGAACGCGAGGTGCATCTTCCACGAGGCGCGCTGAGAAGCTCCTCGCTACTACACCAAAGGTACCAGGGGCAGTGCCCAGGGACAAGGATATCGAGGCCCACAACACCAAGGAGAAGAAACACCAGGACTTCGACATCAGTACCCCGCAGGGAACTCCAAGGACGCCCAGAGGTTCCGCTGGTGCATCTTCATCAGCTGCGGGCGCAGCAACGTTTGCAGCACCAGTGCCAAAGGCTGCCCCGCGTTCTGCGGGGCAACCTGCTCAGAGTTATGCGGGGCAACCTACTGGCAGTCCAGCGGGGCAGCCTGCCCTTGCGCTGGAAGTGCCACCGGAATGTAAGGAATACTGGGACAGGATGCGCTCAGGCAGCCGCATGAAGATCAATCCAGTATATGATCCGCGAAGTGATGATGGATATGGTCGCTACATGTTTGCGCAGTGCAGCATCGCGGGCACTGCTGCCCATGCTGACGAAGGCGCACGCGCGCGCCAGTCAGCGCGCAACATCCCGCGGAAGCGCCCTGCCCTCACGTTGGATTGATAAAGGAATATTTGAAGAACGCCCTCGCCGCCGACGGTCTTCGCAGGGCGAAGTTCGAGCATAGAGAACAACGTGAGTGGCTGACGACAGCCCTCCGTCACAAGCCATTTCATCATGATAGATTGTCAGACGTATCTATTCGTGAAGTTACGCCCTATGGCGAGTGCGACGGCTGGGCAGATAAATTGCAGCAGCTCAACACATGGCCCGCAGAAGGACACGACCATCACCACCGTGAGCATCTCGCCACGGTACGTCATTTGCTTAAACATCGTCGCTGGGCGTATCAGGCCTATGCTGTCCTGGAGTTCATCGGCATGATGAATGAGTCTGGAATGAAAAAGAACAGGCTGCATATCAAGAAGATGAGGTGCTCTGATATGACTTACGACGCCTACTTCATCCGCCCGTCCAACGGGCATAGCAGCCTTGGCATCAGGTGCCCAGAAGCCTTATACATGAGGATCACTGGCTTATCAGCACCTGGGGCGCCTCGGCATTTCATCCATGGAATTCAATGGGAGAATATGTCGAGTATTCCCAGCATTGGTCTATCTTGTCGCGCCGACGACACCAGTAAGGAGAGGGGCGGACAGTTTTTGCATGGATGCCCATGCCTTCTTGGTGACAGTAGAATCCAATCTGGTTTACGCGTGGATTCTGAATTCCTGATCATGGTCAGTCTGAAGAATTTGATTCGGGACAATGTCCCAGCGTGGCGCGCGGCGGACGACATCGTCATGACAGCAGGCCGTGATGGCAGGATCCTTCCTACTCACATCGTCCAGTTGATCGGGACCTTGCCAGTTTACACTTGTCAGTGCAATCGCGCGGGGCAAATATAGATCAATCCCTTTGTTTGAAGGACGACAACCAGCAGTGCACGAGCATTAGAATTGATGAGATGTACGAGATTCGCAATGACGCATCACCATGAAAGAATTGGTTTATCCCAGATACATCCTACAACTTGAAGTGCCCCGAACCGCTTCCGACGGTATTCTCACAGGTGCTCATGATGACCCACAGGGTCTCTACTTGCTAACCTAGACCGGAGGATTTACATGCTTAGAATTTAGGCCGGGGGATCTACATGCTTTTTTAGGAAGTACAATGCCGAGTGGAGCGTGACAAGTGTATCTTGTATGAATCATGTCATTATCGTACGTGTGGCTACATGCATATACGCATATACATGAATAGTTTTATATATGTATTTATTTACACGCATACACATACATACATAGTTACATATATACACACAGATATATACATATTTCACATAAATACATAAGCATACATCTACGCATATGTCATATATGTACATTCACATAGGTATACTATATATGTGTTCAACCACACATCACATCGTAATAGATTTGCGCATGTGGCCGATGTATCTGCAATGATACACGCAAATAATATATGGCAGCTTTATATCCGAAGGCACTATCTTCTTATTTATGTATATATATACACAGATGCAGACGATCACGGGCGTCACACGAACACGCGCAAACAATTTGACCACGCGCGCCCCCACGAACAACGCAGACACAGCACGTACACACGCACGAACAAACAACACGATCACGGATGGCACGGCCAACAAGAACAGCAAGGCCACAACGGCGCTACGGGCAGCACGGCCAACGCCACAGCACTACCAGCACGATCGCGAGCACGATCACGAACACGAACGTGAACTTGTCGATGTGGTTGGTCCTGCGCCGCAGCGGGTCGGCTCGAGGCCCTCGCCCCCCATGGGGGGGTCAGACCCTGGCCGCGGCGGTACAGGGCAGAGGTCGCGCTGCTGGACAGCGTTTTTTTTGGTGCGTCTTGTGTGTGTGTGTGTGTGCGTGTGTGCGCGCGTGCGTGCGCGCGTGTGCGTGCGTGTGTTGGGGGGAGAGTGGGTGCCCCAGCACCCCCGCCCGCTTTTCAACCATATGGTTGAAAAACGGGCGGGGGCAATGAGGGCTCCAGAAAAGCGGCTCCAGCGATGGGAAGGCGTTGGCCAAGGCTCTGAAGCGGCACATCCGAAAAGCAGGCTGGATTCGATGCGGCACCCACCCTGGGAGAGACAATTTCACGCCCAACTGCGTCTCCGAGATTCTGAAGAATCCGAAGGAGATCGGTTTTGCCCGTCGATGCCCCTCCCGCCCCCCCTCGCTCCTACAGCGCATGATCCCCCTAGTCCCCTTGCCCTTCCTACTTATCCTCCTGCTTCCCTCTCGTCCTCCATCTTCCGCAATTTCGCCTCCGATTGAAAACGATCTCAGCTCCTGCTCGCCATCGAGGGCGCAGCCCCGAACTGGGCCGTCACAGAGACGGCCGCGAACGACTGCTTCGAGATCATCGCGAAGAAGCGGCAGGAGGAGTTCGAGTTCGACGACGCTGCCGCCCAGAGCTGGGCGACACAGCAGCTCGAGGCCACGTGGGGAGGGGGGGGGAGCGACGCGAGAGGGATTTGGGGGGGCAAGCGGCGGGCGCGGGGGCATGCAGTGGCGCCCCGGTGGCCCCGCCCCCTTGGGTCGCCCCCGCCCCCACCGCTTGGCCCCCCTAACTTCCGCTCGACGCCCCCCCCGCGGGTCGGGCCGGAAGGAGGAGAGGAGGAGGTAGAGGGAGGTCGGAGGTAGGAGGAGGGAGGTGATGGAGGTGGGAGGCGATGGTCGAGGCAAGTAGGAGGAGGAGGAGGAGGAGGAGGAGGAGGAGGAGGAGGGTAAGGAGAAGGAGAAGGAGGAGGAGGAGGAGGAGGAGCAGGAGGAGGAGGAGGAGGAGGCAGAGGTACGAGTCGAGGGTGACAGAGGGAAGTAGGAAAAGGAATTGCCAGATGGGCAGGGGCAGAAGGATAATGAGAGGCAGAATAATGAGGAGCGGGGTGAAGATGACGAGTATGAGGATGAGAATGAGGATGGGGACGAGGAGGAGGAAGGAGGAGGAGAAGGAGGAGGAGGAATGAGGAAGAGGGAGCGCGAGGAGGACGAGGAGGAGTCGGACGAGGAGAAGGACCGAGGAGGAGGAAACCGAGGGGTGAGTTTTTTTTTTGCAGCCCCTCCCCGCCTCCGCAGGCTGCGGTCGCTGGCGCGACACATGTGCGACCCTGCGCGCAGGGGGTCCAAGGGCCTCTCCGTGCCGAAGTGGTTGAAGGACCTGCGCCAGGCGCAGGACGCCCTCGGAGAGGCCCCGTGCTCGGCAGCGCCCTCGGGCTCAGGTCGGAGCACCGCGCAGATCGGGTACGACCCGACCTCGACGCCGCCCGTGGCATGGAGGCTGCAGGGCTCGAGCACGGTGCCCGAGACGACGACCGACATCTTCCACGAGAACATCGACGAGGCCAAAGACCACGAGATGATGTCGGCTCGGTTCCACGACGGCACCGTGCACCAGCTGGCCACATACACGGTGGCCCAGCACAAGGCCGCGCAGTCAGGAGTTGACAAGATGAAGACGACGAAGTTCAAAGGATGGCGACAACAGACTGCAGGTGGCGCCGAGGTCAAGGTCGTCGAGAAGTCGCTGTACAAAGTCGGCGACTACATCACCAAGGGCATGATCATGACGGTGGACGGGTCCCAGAAGTGCCAGCTGGCGTACTGCCACTACGACAGGGAGTTCGCCAAGACGTGGCTCGAGAAGATGGCCGCCAAGTTCGTGAAGGGGAAGAAGACGATCGAGCAGATCATCGCGCACGCAGGCCGCGATGAAGCGGCCCGCAGGCGCTGCCATGAAGAGGCCTGCGGCAGCGGACGGCGACCCAGAGGGCAAGAAGGACGACGAGGAGGAAGAGGAGGACGAGGACGAGAACGACGAGGGCACGGACAACGACTCCTGCAAGTACTACGGGGCCGAGGAAGAGGGAGAGGAGGAGGAGAAGGAGGAGGACGAGATCCTCGGTGACAGCGAGGAGCAGCCCGCGACCCTCGGCAGGATGGTTGACAAGCAGGGGCTCACGGAGCGAGCTCTAGCGGCGATCGACGAGCTGGCCGCCACTGACGACGAGGGCGCCGAGTCCGAGATCAGCGGCACAGCGCAGCATGACGATGGCGAGGAGGTGGCGCCGCTAAAGAGGAAGCCAGCCGCAGCCGCGCCTGCCGAGGAGAAGATCGAGGAGGGCGAGCAGGCAGGCGAAGAGGAGGATGAGGAGGACTGAAGACGAGGAAGAGGCAGAGGAGGAAAAGAAGGACGACGAAGAGCAGGAAGAGGAGGAAGAGGAGGAAGGGGAGGAAGAGGAGGATGAGGAAGCAGAGCCAGAGGACGAGCCGCCGAAGAAGAAGATGAGGCTGAGGATGAGGCCGTCGGCGATGCCAGGCCCCCGCGCGTCGCTCGTCGGCCGTGCCATGGCCCTGCTCGAGCGCGCGAGCGGCTCCAGGTGAGCAGACCCGTGCGAGAGAGCCGAGCCACATATCGTCTGATCGTCACTTCGTGATCCTCGTCCCCCCCCCCCCGTGACCCGCCCGCGACCCACCCGCGACCCGCCTGCAACCCGCCCGCGACCCATCCCGCGACCCGCCCGAGGGCGACCCTCCCGCATTGCTTTAACCAAACAATTGGCTCCTGCGGCGAGCCCGTTATAATTTGCAGCGCCTGCGGCCGTCTTCAGAGCCCCGCAGACTGCAGACACCCCCGCCGCCCCCTCACTCCCGCGGGGTGCTCTCGACGCTCGATGCCGATAATGACGGCTGCCCACCGGGCGCAGCAGGGGGGCGGACCTCGGGGGCGCGGGGCGGGTCGCAGGTGCGTCGCGGGAGGGTCGCGGGCGGGTCGCGGGTCGCGGGGGCGGGGGGGGGGGCGACGACGACAGCAACAACAACACTAATAATAAGACTAACGCCTCAAAAACAACAACAACAGCAACAGCTGCAACACCGACAACAACATCAACAACAACAACACCACCAACAACAACAGCAGCAGCAGCAACAACAACACCACCAACAACAACATCAACAACAACAACGACCACAACAACAACAACAACTACAACAACAACAAGCATGATCAGCGCTGCGGAGTCCCACATCAGCCACGCACCCAGTGACAGTGAACTCTGATCGACCTACTGGGCACCTCGATCGATCGTTTTGATCCGCGATCGGCGCGGCCTGCTATCGCAGATCGCAAGTCGCGCCGACCTGCCACTTCCGATTGCAATATTGGCGCGACCCGCGATCTGCGATCAGGCCGCGCCGATCGCGGATCGAACCGATCGATCGACGTCTTGTACCATGTCGCTTCGAGCCCCTCAGCTGTTCGGCTTTCAGGGGCTTTCGACGACAGGCCCAGCTCCCCGACAGTGCGATGGCCCTCCCCGCCCCTGGCCGCCGCGGCGGCTCCTCGAACGGGCCCGCCGACGTCGACTCTGCTGGTCCTGGGTCGAGCTTGGTGGCGGCTCCAGACGGAGCTCCAGATCGCAAAAGGGGACGGGTGAGGGGGTCGAGGCACGGGAAGGGGAGGGCGGGATCGGGCGCGGCCGAGGAGGTGGCTGAGGGGGGTGAGGAACTATAGAGAAGCAGAGTGGCAGGACGATGGGACGCAGGATAGGGACGATGATGAGGGAGAGGTTCAGGAGCAGGAGGAGGAGAGCCCCCATAACCCAGTCGACCAGGGGGGGTCGCTTGCCCGCCCGACGCGCCACCCCCCGAAGGGCACGTTGGCTTCATCGACCTCGAGCAGCTGCACCTCACGCCCGACGAGTGGAACGCCATGACTGAGGATCAGAAGCTGCGGGCGTGCGGACAGCTCAAGGCGCAGAGCACCTTGGCGGAGGACACCCAGGCGTTGCTCGACCAGCACAAGGAGGTCATCGCCGACCAGCACCGGGCGTGGGCCGCGCACGAGCTACGTCGGCGGCAAGTTGATGGGCCAATTCCAGTCGAGGACAGCCCTGATGCAGCCGATCGGCTCGCCCAGAGTGCTGCGCCGTCCTCCTGGCTCCATGTCCGCGATCGCGGCGGTCGTCAGGCCCTCTGCGATCTACGACGGGGGCGGCTACTCGATGGCGCACGAGCTCGAGGTCGACAGGCTGCGCTTGGAGGATGCGGGCGGCGCGCCAGGCCAGACGGCGGCGCGATCCTGCGCGTCCGAGCCGCCTGCAGAGCAGCAGAGCCAGGTCTTGGCTGGCGAGCCCGAGGCGGCGGTCGAGCCTGAGGCGGCTGGCGAGCCAGAGGAGAAAGCAGAGACGAGGTCGAGGAAGGCGAAGCGCCAGAGGAAGACCAGGAGGCGTCGCCGCAGCGCGGGACGCAGCAGCACGTGTCCGCCCACGCCTTTGTGCGCCAGCAGGCTGCATAGCTCGTTGCATTTACATCCTCGGCCCCCCTCCCCCGCATGCCCCCTCCCTCTCGGGGCCCAAGGGGGCCCCGAGAGGGCGCCGAGAGGGAGAGGGCTCGAAGATGGCCCCGAGGGGGCACATGGTTAAGGTCCTATAGAAACGATCGCGCTTGCAAGCTGCCTCGGCCCTCTCTCGATCAGGCCTCTCTAGGGGACCTCTTAGAGCCCTCCCGGCGCCCTCTTGGAGCCCCTGGGTTTTTCTATGACCTCGGGGGGGCCCAAGCGGGCCCTTAGGGGGCCTTCGCAGGCAGCTGGGGATGATTGACTCCCGCCCCCATCCTCCTCGTCCTTAAACCTCCCCCCTTCCGCGCCCTTACCTCCCTCCCCCTCGCCCCCCCCCCATCCCGCGCCAGCCTTCGCCATTCTCATTGCCCCCGTCCGAGCTTCTCGACTTTCGCTTGCGCCCGCGCAGGTCAGAGAAGCTCGAGTGCGCGCCGCCCAAGACTGCTCGCGCCGCTGCTGAGCAACACCTGAAGCGGCTGGTGCAGATGCGGGGGGATGGCAGCGGCCATCATCCATGCCACCCTCCCGTCGCTGGCCTCTCCAAGGGCGGCGAACCCAGCCTGGAGTCGGTCGCGGGCAAGCGCGGCGCCAGGGGCGAGGTCGAGGCCATCAAGGCGGTGGAGGAGAACAACTGCAAGTTCACGAAGAGGTCGGCTCTCGGCCTGAGGTGGGACAGGAAGATGAAGGACGCCAAGTTCAAGGCCCAGTTCGAGGCGGCCCCCGACGCAGCCAAGTTCAAGGCCGACTGGGTGAAGGAGATCTACGACGGGGCCGTCAGGAAGCACAGGACCCACACCAAGGAGGTCTCGGAGACGTGGATGAAGCAAGGGAAGCTCCTCACCTTCCTGAGGATGCGCTGGGAGGAGGGGGGCCCTACTGGGCACAAGGACCGCCAGATCGTGAAGGACATCATGACGACCTGCAGCAAATGCATCGACCTTGGTTGGCCGTTTTGCCAGGTCGATCCGTGGTCGGGGGCCCAGAAGTACTTGTACTTCGAGCTGCAGTATAGGGAGGAGTTCATGGAGAAGTGGAGCGAGACTACATGCCAGGAGCACGAGAAGAATGCCGTCGCGGACAGTCAGCCCACCGAGAAGCCCAAGCCGACCCCCAAGAAGAAGGCGCCCGACGAGAGCGCGGCGGCCCTGAGGGACAGCAAGAAGTTGGTCGTCATGGCGCAGTCGGCGCTGGCAGCTGCGCGATCCCTCAGGCGGACGATCGAGACCTCTGGCGGCTGGGAGTGGGCCATGACCGACGCAGTCCAGGGGAAGCTGAAGACCATGAGCGGCAAGCTCGAGAGGGAGATCAAGGCGGTGGAGATTGGCCAGATGTTCATGGACGGGTTCGACGCGAAGCAGGCGATTCTGTAACATGAAAAAACACCTTCTCCTCCTCCCCCCCCTCCTCCTCCTCCTCCTCCTCCTCCTCCTCCGACTCCTGATATTTCTCGCGCAGGTGCTGTTGCCCATCCTCTTTCGCTATCTGGACCGCTCGCGGTTGCTTGTGCTCCTGCCCCTGCTCGTTGCCCGACCCGCCTCTTCCTCCGAGCTCTAGCCCAACCGGGCGCGCCCGCCCTCCCCCGCGCTCCCGGGTGAAGGCCAAGCTGGACTCGAAGACCATCGCGTCCCAGGCGAGGATGCTCAAGGACCTGGAGGAGGCGCCCCGCGGCGGATTGTGATGATGATGGGGCTGCCGATGGCGGCGATGATGTGGATGGTGATGGTGGTGGCGGTGGCGACGATGAGGACGATGACGGTGACGATGATGATGATGATGCTGTTGATGATGACGAGGTGTGTGACGGTGATGACGATGAGGATGATGATGATGGAGGTGGTGATGATGATGAGGACGATGACGATGACGATGGTGGTGATGCTGATGATAGTGATGGTGTGGATGATGATGATGATGATGATGCTGATCATCGATGGTGGTAATGATGGTGATCATGATGCTGGTGACGGCGATGATGACGATGATGATGATAATGGTGATGATGACGACGATGGCGGTGATGGCGATGGTGAGCATGATGATGCATATGATGCTGATGCTGAGGATGATGAGGATGGCGATGATGCTGAGGATGAGGACGAGGAGAAGGAGGCGGAGCAGTGAGGAGGAGGAGGAGGGTTGAGATAAGAGGAGGAGGAGGAGGAGGAGGAGGAGGGAAAGGGGCTGGACCCCAAGCCGTGGATGGAGAGAAGCGCTGTCCGCGACGAAGTGGCATGATGTTTTGCGTCAGCCACTTTGTCGCGGAATTGCAGACCAACGGAGGGGGATCTGTTTGTTCCCAGCCATCCTGTGGTGGTGGGCTT